CTTGCCCAAGAACACTATGCAATGACCCTGGCCAGGGTTCTAACCCAGACATCTTGATTCGAAGTCTGGCATGCCAACCACTAAGCCACTGTGCCTCCCATAACCTCTTATAGAAGACCTGTCTAACTGGACACTTTCCTGGTTCCAATGTTGGCCACTTACAGGAGTTTTCCAAGATTCCAAAAAATTTACAAAATTACAAAATTTTCTCCAGGAAATTGATTACTACATGTATTTAAGTTAACTTAGTAAACTGTGTGGATTTCATTTTACAGTTGGGTTTCTTCTTTCAGTTGATTTTAATCTATGTGATAATTGTATAAGATCCAAAATTGTTAATTTACTAATTAAGTTTCACTCATAGCATCACTTATGTACAACGAAACATTCTCACTCACCAAGAGAAAGTTGTGAGGACAAAAAGAGAATTCTCTTGTTTGTTAAAAGACAAATGCCACCACTGCGCTGGTTCACTGTTTTGGCATGCTCATCACAGAATTGAAGATGTTTGTAGGTCATAAATGTGAAGTGATTCAGGGCTTGAAAGATTTCACCTTCATAGATAAGCCCAGCCAAGAGATCCTTGTAACTCATATTTCCCTGAAGATTAATTACATTTAGTTTGTAAGACAGGGTAGAAAAAAAAAAGTTTCTTCCAAACTGTGCCAAACTCCATTATTTTGACAGGCCCTCTAGGGTGTTGGGAGGGAGGGGGAGAGCAATGTTGATTTCTCTGTATGAACATTAACAAGTCAGACAGCCACAAGAAAAACCTTCCGTTGGTTTTACATTAGCATTAATTTCTACTCTCCATGGTAGAGACATGTTTCAAGGAAGGGGCAGGTAAATGAAAAATTGGCCTATATATGATGCAAAAGTAGAAATGGATTAACAAACCACTTGTAAAATTTTATGATCTTTCCAATTATTGGCAACAGTGGGGGTGGGTGGAGGGGGAGGTAGTCGAGAAAACAGCCATCACTCTTTTAACCTCAATCCATTGTTGATGAGAGAGGTATTTGAGACTTCACCACAAAGTCAATGCTGAAGATGCCTCTCGGAATAATAATTATTGTAATTATAGTGTTTCGTCTAAACCTTAAGTTGCTAGGCTATTCTCAAAGAAACATCTAGACTGTTATCAAGCTTATTACCTTCAAGGAAACAAATTGTCCTTGAACAGAACGTTGGAGCTCATCGGCACTGTGTCGCAATGTCCTCTGCAGAGTTGCACCACTCATGTGTTTGGTGGTTAGTGAAGTCATCACACCTTTGGAACTGGGATCCAACATTTCATCTGTGAAGGCCTGGGGCTGAGTCACCACAGGTGGTGCAATTGTTGCTAAGAAATCCATGTTGACTGTAAAATGGATAGAAAACTATTGGAAACTTCATTTGAGTGGGAGCTGTTCTCAAAGCAGTCAGCTACACCTGTAACTACAGCAGCTCTGACCTTAAGAGATCTTTGTTAATATTTGGCACTGCAGTTCCTTTCTCCAACAAATATTTCTTTTTTTCAAAATGGTGCTTACATGTAAAAAGCAGAGGGCTTATTTACACCCATCAATGTCAAGCCCCATAGTAGGGGGAGGGGGGCTACCAATGGGGAATTGACTTGGCAAGCCTCCCCCTGAGTAGGGAGTTTAGCACTTAAAAAGGTAGTTATTAATTTGCTTTTACTAGGTGACCAGGGTGGAAAATTTGACTCTGGCTTCCTTGAAAATTTCAAATTCCCCTGGGTTTGCTAGCACCCTGCCTGAAACCTAATGTCAGGGAAAACCCAAAATATCCTACTTAAGGCTTTTAACATAACTACCGTTCCCATTTGATTTTCCTCCCGGATTTCACGGTGGCACAATTTGCAAAATTCAACAATTTTCGGCTTTTCCGGAAACTATCCTTGGCAAGTTTGCGATTCCGTACCTTCTGCCCATTTGCCCCCTGTTTCAAAACTTCCGGCATTTGTGGCCTTACGGCAACTGCGACGGTGAATTGATTTTAAGAAGCATGTTGAGTTTACCATTATTGAGGTTTATAAATGTTGAACCAGTAAGTAAAAGGTATCAGAACGAAAAAGAATGTTAGAAAGATTTTTAGTAGTAACGGAAAGTTAAAAGCATTACAATGTATATGCGCCCTTTTAGTAGTAGGCTGTATAATAATTAAACCTTGCCCAAGATGCAAGTTCTTGCATGTAGAGACTGCAAAGTAAACACGTGAACATTTGACGCTACTTAGTTAACTTTTCCCCGGCAATTTGCAGCAGCTTTGACGTTTGCAGTCCTTTAGCAAGAACCACCATTAGCACTTAGAGTCGACTGAGAACAATTTCCACCACAATTAAGACAGTTTCTCACATACTCGATCCGCTAGACACCAGCGAAGGTCCACCTTCAAAATTGTTATCTGCCATTTGTCGCAAAGGTATTCCCGAGGGCAAAGGGGCTGTTTTCTCGTCTTCTGAGAACTCTGAGCTAACCGGACTTCCACGTTTGGAATCGTCTGTGAAGTTTCTGTAACTCATTGAACCATTGAACGATCCCTTTGTGCAATGAAATGTGCAATCCGAAGCCAAGTTGACTTTCTCGGAAAACTTGGCACATTAGGCACGTGGTACGTTTCTCGGAAATCAATTGTTACGTTCGATTTTGTCGGGGGAGGGCAAAGTCTGTATGAGTTTTAGCTCTTTTCCATTTTGTTTCCCTCTTTAACCAGTGGTTAGTAGGCGAAAATAAAAACATTGGTATAATTTTTAGCAGCCACCAGCTTCGTGTTTTGTGGCTTTAAAGAACAGTTTACCTTACCCCTGGAAGTACTGGCGGGGAATAACAATTTAGCCTCTCCAGGGTCTACATGTGGAATGGTAGACTGCGAATATTTTGGTCTTTTTATATGTTATACATAAAACGAATACTGAAACTTTAAAAATAGAAACTGATTGTTGAAAACATTTTCCTTTTAAACCTTTTTACACGTGTGCATGGGAGACGATATAATAAATGCAAGATACAATTTCACATTTCCGGGTTAGTGCATTGTCGCCCAGCGATACGAATGGGTTATTCATGCTCTGCAAGCATGACCAAGTTCAGAGAATTAGCTGTTACGATATGAGTTGACAAGAAAAAACAAGTAGATATCTTTTGTATTTCGATCGAAGAAGTCGGAGGGGTACCTCTGCTCATTCACATCCCATTCCCTTGCGAGAAATCAATTCGGGATAAAGTCTCTCGATTTCTCTGCCGATGTTCTTGGACGTTCTCCAAATTCAAGGTCACACAGAAGTAGAGGCAAATTATTTATCATAAACCCTTGAGCATGCATGCATAAACCATATTAATAAACCAAATGTTATTACATCGCTCGAGCGAACAAGGGTGGTCTGCACAAGAGCAGGGTTTGCATTTAGTTATATTTTATGCATTATAATTGTTTGGAATTATTCTATACTACTCACCTGGAGTGCCCATATCTTGTAGTTGGATTGGGATGTCTTCAAGATNGGGTTTGCATTTAGTTATATTTTATGCATTATAATTGTTTGGAATTATTCTATACTACTCACCTGGAGTGCCCATATCTTGTAGTTGGATTGGGATGTCTTCAAGATTCTCCACTTTAGAGTACGAGTTTCTCAACTTTTTAAAGCTCATCTGTTTAGACTCGGCAGCGCTTATCGGTTTGTTTCGCGGAACTCGATACAATTTTTGCGCAATCCACGATGTATTTCTCAGAAAAACTCAGGATGTTGCCGTTTTCGACCTCCTGTAGAGTTCCAATTCTTGGAAAAGTCTTTTACCGACCCCACCCCTCAAGCGTTCGAAATCTGCGATGTGAAATTGTCGCACGAAGAAACCACCTTGTACTGATATTAGATAATAGAGTGACCAACGTTTTAATGACTCTAATTATTCAGTAGTCTGCAAATATGGTACCCCAATTTATCAAATGCATTTCATATTTGCCAAGATCCAATTTCTGCCCAAAGCTTACGGAATTGAGCTGTTTAATATTTTGTGTAAAAGTACTCTTAATTGAATGCAAATCTGCTCTGCCTGAATATTTTATTAGGTGAAGGCGCCACTCTTGTGATTTAATTTGATTTCCAGGCTCTCACTGTTTATTTGCATGGGAAAAGCTTAAAAAGGTCTAAAAACGTTA